GTTACTATTCCACACCAGTGTTTTTTAAGCGCAGGCTGTAACTAATTTATGTGCGTGAAATCATGTTAATATATTACAACCAGCAATTTACTTTAGTGAATGAGAATAGAAAATACCATGTAGTAAAAAAGGTATCATTTCACAAACTGTCGTTTCAGTTGTGTGTGCATGTGTGTGTGTAATGGGTTGCAATGTCAATATATTTCTTATTGTAGAATGAGGTTTCAAAAAATTTTGAAAACTACTCTTCTATGCAGCTTCCCTTAGCACCATTTTTTTTTTTTTTTTTTAAGAGACAGGGTCTTACAGCAACAGAGTATGCCCAGGCTGGAGTGCAGTGGCTCAATCATAGCTTGCTGCAACTTTGAACACCTGGGCTCAAGTGATCCTCCCATCTCAGCCTCCCAAGTTGCTGGGACTACTGGCATCCACCACCATGCCAATTTTTGTTATTTTTATTTTGTAGAGACGAGGTCTCGCTATGTTGCCAGGTTGGTCTCAAATTCCTGGCCTCAAATGATCCTTCTACCTCAGCATCCCAAAGTGCTGAGATTACAGGCACAGGCCACCACACCCAGCCTCCCATAGCACCTTGATTTGCAATTAGCTCCCAAAGCACCAGCATAATTAGTGCTATCTTCCTATTTACAATTAAGCACTTAGACGTAAAGTATTAAAAACAGTAGGTGCTCTCAAATAAAAAAATATAATTATAATCTCATTTAAATAACAAATTTGCTAAAGACAACTACTCACTGATAGTATAAAATTAAACTACAGCAAGTGGCCAGGTATAGTGGCTCACTCCTGTAATACTAGCATTCTGGATAGCTTGAGACCAGGAGTTTGAGACCAGCCTGAGCAAGAGCAACACCCTGTCTCTACTAAAAATAGAAAAAATTAGCTGGGTATGGTGGCACGTGCCTGTTGTCCTAGCTACACAAGAGGCTGAGTGAGGCAGGAGGGTTGCCTGAGCCCAGGAGTTTGAGGTTGCTGTGAGCTAGGCTGACACCATGCACTCTAGCCTGTGCAACAAAGCGAGTGATTGTCTCAGAAGAAAAAAAAACAAAACTACAGCAAAGGGGCCGGGCACGGTGGCTCACGCCTGTAATCCTAGCACTCTGGAAGGCCGAGGCGGGC